TAATCTTTATGGATCTTTCTAAAATATAAAATAAATTATTTTTACATAAAATCCTTATAGAAGAAAAATGTAATCAAATATAACATATATTTAATCATACGGAATTTTTAAACAAAAAAATCTATTTCAACTTGTAGCAGGGACACAAAGAATCAAAATGAAATTACTGGTGCATAAAATTTTTGTTTGTAAATGGATTCTAAAGCACAGCATTTGCAACAAACAGCTTGCCTCTTGTTAATTTTAATTTGCACTGTTTCCAACAGTATGTTTCTATATTAGAACTACTGTGATTTATATTTTTATAAAATTACATTTAAAGAGGGCTTATTTCAAGTAACAGACCAGGCTACACACTTTAGAGGAATTTTTTTTTTTTACAATTTTGTGGAAGGTAATGGAGCTTGACTTTGGCAGAGTTAACATGACAAAGCTTTGAAAGCGATCTTTGCTCTTCTTTTAAAGGAAAAGTCATTCAAATAAGACTGCTCTGACTCTCACTGAAGATAATTTCTTCTATGGAAAATTAACTGGTACAACATCAATGACATATACAAATCTTAAATATTTATCAGTTGGTTCTAATTTTTCTTTTAGATACCATGAATACCAAATGATTTTCCCTTCACACTACTCAGAAACGACTATGAAACATTGTCAAGCATCTCCACATGTCTGGATTGCGTAAATGCAGAGCCAACATAAACTGTATGGCTATGAGATGAATCACAGAATGGTTAGGTTGGAAGGGACCTTTGGAGATCATGTAGTTCAAACCTCCTGTTAAAGCAGGTTCACCTAGAGCAGTTTAAGCATTGGTAAGATCCCTGCAGTCATCTCTTCTCAAGGCTGAACAGGCCCAGCTCCCTCATCCTGTCCTCCAGTCCCTTAATGCTCTTTGTTGAACAGGACTGGACCCCCTGCTGACCCCTGGGGAACACTGCTAGGTACTGGCCTCCAGCTGGACTCTGTGATGATGATCACAATGCTCTGGGATGTGCCGTTCAGCCAGTACTGACATATGGGAATGTTGTGGAAAACTGTCAAAAGCCTTGAAGTAAAGGTAGACATTATTCACTGGTCTTCCCTCATTCCCCTAGCCAGTCATTTCATCATACAAGGATGGTTGGTCAACCATGATTTCCCCTTGGTGGATCCATGTTGACTACTTGACATAACCTTCTTTTTTGTCTGGAGATGGCAACCAGGCTGTTCCATCACCTTTCCAGGGATTGAGGTTAACTGGCTTGTAGTTCCCTGGATCCTGTCCTCCTTCTTGTTCTTTTTGAAGTTCGAGTTCTCATGTACCTCTCCATGATTTTACAAATAACCCTCAGCATTTGAGAGTGCATCCCATCAAGGCCCGTGGATTTCTGGCTGTTAAATTTGCCTTGACACCCACAAATGCTAATTTGATGTTCCTCAACACAAAATCTTTTCTCTAGACTTTTTTCCTTGGCTATAGAGTGAGAGATTTCAGAGGGCTGCCTTAGCAATAAAAACTGAAGCAAAAAGAGACCTTCCATAACTCCACCTTCTCTGGATCCTTTGTCACCACCAGCAGTGAGCCCATGTTTTCCCAAATCTTCCTGTTGCTACTGATGTGCTGGAGGGAGCCGCTGTTAATCCCTTGCCAGATTTAATTCCAAACAGACCTTAGCCTTCCAGATCTCATTCCTGTATACTCTGAAAACATTCCTATATCCCTCCCAAGTGCCCAAGAACCCTGTCCCTTTTTCACGAGCTTCCATAAACTTCCTAGTTCTCTTTAGGTTTTGCCAGAAGCTCCTTGCCCATCTATGGAGGTATCTTGCCCCTTTGCTTGATTTCTTACCTGTAAGGATTCACTGAGCTTGATCTTGGAGGAAGTGATGCTTATGCAGCTTTTTTCCTATGGAAATGTCAAATATTATTATCTAAAAAGCAACTGAGTGCAACTGGCAAGGTATAATTGGTCATATATGTGGACAAATCAAAGAACCCTCACCTCTCTCTAAAATACACTGCCCTGTGGGAAAGGCATGCACGTATCTGTCTTTCAGCCTGGCTAATCTCACCTCTAATGTGTCAGTCTCATCCCATGCAGCTCTGCCAAAAGTTAGCTTTCCACTTCACATCCTGCTGGACACCTTTTATTGGCTTCACTTCTGAACAAGCAAAAATAGACACAACTGGACTAAATCCTTTTTGGACAAAACAAAAGGACTTACATTGTTTACTTGGATACTATTAACTGAATGGCATCAATTTGCACTTTTCAGCTTTCATCATGCCCTTACTTTACGGAGGAAATGTAGTATCTCCACTAACATCTGTTACTACCAGTTATGCTTCAAAGCATGGGATCCAGAGCAAGGAAAGCAAAAGTTAAACATTCCAGCATATACCAGCCCACTCCTTGAGCAGGCATAAGGAGCTTAGCCAACTACAAATGAAGGCTATTGTGGAAAGTGTGGTCCTGTGTCCTCCACTTTCATATTCCTACAGTGACACTTTTCTGACCCTGACAGAAGATCCCTATGGGGAGATCCCCACCAAAAAAAACCCATGATGTAGAAAGCCAGGGAACAGTTCTCAGTCAGTACAGCTCCCCAAATCAGGAAGCAAAGGAGCACATACACTCAAGTGTCAAGGGAATAGAGGGTCAACCCAGACACAGGTAGTGCTCTGAGTGCTCTGCTCAAGGGAGAAGTCCCTTTGGTGGCAGAGAAAAACAATTAAAGGAATAGGAGAGCCCACATTATCAACAAGTGGCTCAAGGGTTGGTGTCATCAGCAGAATTTTGGGTTCTGTTATCATGGGGCAACTTTTACAGCACCTGGCCTGCTGGAACTGGATGGGCTCCATCTCTCAGTTAGGGGCAGAAAGTATTTAGCTCATGAACTGGTAGAACTCATTGGGAGGACTTTAAACTAGGTTTGAAGGGGGAAGGGGATGCAGCTGGGCTGTCTGGAAGTAGGTCCAAGGTTGGTAAGCCTGAGTTAGGGGTGAAATCAGAAGCCCAGCTGTAGTGTATGTACACTAATGCACACAGTATGGGTAGCACACAAGAGGCGCTGGAGGCCATGGTGCAGCAGAAAGCTATGATGTAGTTGCCATCATGGAAATGTTGTGGGACAACGCACATACCCGGAGTGCTGCACTGGATGGCTTCAAGCTCTTCAGAAGAGTTAGGAAAGGGAGAAGAGGTGGAGGGGTGGCCCTTTATATTAGGGAGGCTTTTGATGCCATGGATATTGAAAATAGTCACACTGAAGATGAATGCCTATGGGTAAGAATTAAGGGGAAGGCCAACAAGGCTGATATTGGGAGTCTGTTATTGTCAACCCAACCAGGAAGAAGAGGTGGATAACTTACTCTATAAGCAGCTGGAGAATGTTTCAGGATCATCACCCCTTGTTCTTGTAGATGGCTTTAACCTACCAGACATCTGCTGGGAACTAAATACAGCAGAAAAGAGGTACTCCAGGAAGCTCCTAGAGGGTGTGGAGGACAACTTTTTGTCACAGCTGGTGAGTGAGCCCACTGGGGAGGGACTATGTTAGACCTGTTTTTTGCAAATAGAGATGGGCTGGTGGGAGATGTAGTGGTTGGAGGCCACCTGAGGCACAGCTGGGGATGGTGTGGCTGGACAGTGCCCAGGCAGAAAGGGACCTGGGGGTGCTGGTGACAGCCAGCTGATCATGAGCCAGCAGTGTGCCCTGGTGGCCAAGAAGGCCAAGGGCATCCTGGCCTGGATCAGGAATGGTGTGGCCAGCAGGAGCAGGGAGGCCATTCTCTCCCTGTACTCGGCACTGGTGAGGCTGCACCTTGAGTGCTGTGTCCAGTTCTGGCCCCTCAGTTTAGGAAGGATGTTGAGATGCTTGAGCACCTCCAGAGGAGGCAACGAGGCTGGTGAGGGGTTTGGAACACAAACCCTGCGAGGAACGGCTGAGGGAGCTGGGTATGTTTAGCCTGGAGAAAAGGAGACTCAAGGTGACCTTATCACCCTCTACAGCTGCCTGAAAGGTGGCTGTAGTCAGGTGGGTGAGACAGGCTGTAGTCAGAATGAGAAGACACAGTCTCAAGCTGCGCCAAGGGAAATATACGTTGGATATTAGGAAGATTTTTTTACTGAAAGACTGATAAATGGAATTGTCTGCTCAGGGAGGTGTTGTAGTCACCATCCCTGGATGTGTCTAAAAGAAGATTGGATGTGACACTTGGTGCCATGAGTTAGTTGAGGTGGTGCTAGGGCATGGGTTGGACTTGAATGATCTTGAAGGTCTCTTCAAGCCTACTGATTCTGTGATTCTGTGACAGGGTTGGAGCAGGTTTGCATTTTGTGGCAGCCAAATAGCTACTAGGGTGGCTGAGCCACAATACCGAAGAGTACTGTGTACACTGAAATCCCAACAAAAACTGAAAACGGGCTTAAACCCCTAATGCATTGGTGCTGCTGTGTGGTTAAAACCAAAGTGAGAATCTAGGGAGGTCTGCAGCTGCATCTCTGAAGGCACCAGTGGAGAGTGGAGGCAGAGCTGCCCCCTCTCTGCCCAGGACTCCAGCTGAAGGAACCGTGGCTGTTTGCAGTTTTCCAAGCACACTACTGACCAGACTACTGAACAGCTGCAAAGAGATGCCTTTGACCCCTACCACATTTAGTTTTCCAGTCATTACCTTTCAATTTGGTTTTCTACTCAAGTGTACGCTGAGTGGGGGTAATAGGCTTTTCACATCCCTTTTAAGATAGAATTGTCTTGTATACTGATGACAGCAAGGAACACTAAACCTTCATCCAGTGGAGAAAAAAATGCAAATACTATGTGGCAACCACTATTTTGCTCAAATCAAGGACTATCACCAATTATCTCAAACAGTAGCATTGTAGAGAGATCCACACAAAGAAAATCACCAAATAACTGCATCTTTCCTTGCAAACATCCTTTGTTTCTAATCAATATCACTTTTAGACATTTTTTTCCCCTTCAAAAGAGCAGCAGCCAAAACCAGAAAGCAAATTTCCCTGGGATACTTAACAAACTTTATTGTACAGCCATGAATTTAAAATATGTTAATTACAAAACCAGCATAGAACATTAGCATACAAATTGTTCAGGGTACAGTACACAGATATCCAAATCCAAGGCAGATCCTGATTTCTCTCTGTTGACTGCTGTGATATATCACTGAGAACCATTTCCCACTGCATGCTGGAGAAACAACGCCTGACTGTAAAATCACATGGCAAAACACAAAATGCAAGCAGCCTTCCCAAAAGTTCAGAGTTCTGTTCACACAGAGTGAATGAGAAAAACATTCTTGAAAATCATGAATTCTCTTCCTGCAGCAACTGCTTTTGCTACCATTATAATTCTACAGTATTTCTACAGTATCAATTTTGAACAAACCAAGATGGACGCTTCCTGGCTCTTTCAATGATCCGCTTGCCTTCATCTGCTTCTGTGGGTTTTTCTCCTTCATAAAGGACAACAGTCTCTACAGTTGGAGAATTAAATGGACGTCCTTCTTTCTTGTATATTTCCATCCGTATCAGTCGAGTTTCTTCTTTGACTTTTGCATAGCAATAGCCACAAAGGACGTGTTTCTGCTTCAAGTTTCCACACTCAGGACAAACATCTATGTTCCTCTAAAATGACAGTGAAAACCACGAAATTTGAACAGCAGCAAAAAAAGAAACAGGGAACTACTACAAATAAAAATGTTAAATTAAGAGAAATTCACCTACCATTTCAAAACATATTCCTCTATGTAACTTTTCTGTAACGTGTCACTATGTCACATGCTTACTACTAAGAACAGCCTCTAAATTCAGTATCTAAGTCATGATGCCTAATTATGTTTAGAAGACTAAAGAGCTATGGACTAAGTGCACAGAAAATGTACGCCTTTTCCATCTGCGTTATCTGTTCTAAAATCCACATTTTGTTGGCTTGCACCTTGAGTGTCACTGTTCATTTAACCTCAGACTGCTGTCACACATGACGAATCACAAAAGACTTTAAAGATTACAATATCTTTTAAGTGTATTGATTTATAAGCAAACTCCAGAGAGCTTTTACAGTCAGTACTTCTCTCTGCAATGCTTCTCCAAAACAGGGGCTTTGCTGTTTACCTTTATTTCTATGAGCTTGCTGGGATGCCTCCGCCTGCAGCGGTTCACCTCGATGGTGCGCCTGTGCTTGGGTGCCGCCATCCACATCACACTCCCCAGCAGGCTCGGCGCCTCGGCGCTGCTCTCACTGGCATCGTTGATCCCTCCTGGAATGAGAGCTGCACCTTGCACAGCTAGTGCTGGTCCTGCAGGAGAAAGGAAAGGAGGGGGGTGATTGTCCCACTCTGCTCTGTACCGGTGCAGCATCTCCTGGAATACTATGTGCAGTTTTGGGCACCACAACATAAGAAGGATATAAAGCTCTTACAGAGCATTCAAAGGAGGGCCACAAGGATGGTGAAGGGCCTGGAGGAGAAGCCATACAAGAAGCAGCTGAGGTTATTTCATCTATTCAGCCTGGAGAAGATTGAGAGGAGACCTCATCACAGTCTACAACTTCCTCATGAGGGGAAGGAGAGGGGCAAGCACTGATCTCTTCTCTGTGGTGACAGGACTCAAGAGCATGGCATGAAGCTGAGTTAAGGGAGGTTCAGGTCAGACATTAGGAAAAAGTTCTTCCCCCAGGGGGTGTTTGGGCCACTGGAACAGGTTCCCCAGGGAAGTGGTCACAGCTCCAAGCCTGACAGAATTCAGGAAGCATTTGCACAACGCTCTCAGGCACATGGTGTGAACACTGAGGCTGTCCTGTGCAGGGCTAAGTTGGACTTGATCATCCTAGTGTGTCCATCCCAGCTCAGCATAATCTGTGATTCTGTGAGAAAGAAATTCCTTACAGCCAAGCTTCACCCCTGAAGCAAGGCCAGGGCGGCGCCCCCGCCCCGCTCTCTCACGGACCCCAGCGCTCCCCCGCCCTCCGCCCTTCAGGGGTAAAACGCGTCCCTCAGCCCCGACGTCGCCCTCTCACAGAATCACAGAAACAATGGCGCTGGAAGGGACCTCTGAGATCCAAACCCTTCCCAAGACAGGTGGCACAGGAAAGCGTCCAGTTCCTTCAGCTGGGCAGAGAAGAGGCCGGAACCTACCCCAGGGCGGGCTTTGGCTCCCGAAGACACCCGGCCAGAGGCCGCGCTCCAGCCGCCCCCAGCAGCGCTGGAACAGAGCGCGAAGCCGCGGCAGCGGAGAGCGGACCAGGACCAGCACCGCCATGACCCCGCTCAGCCCCGCCGAGCTCTCGGGGGAGGTGAGCGTGTTCCTGAGCCTTCTGGGAAACCGAGTGCCCCTAGCCTGTCACGACATTGCGGGGAGGCAGGAGCAGGACTCCAAGTCCCAGTACTGCTCTCGCTAACAGGAAGACGGGGCGGTGGAGGGCGGTCGGGGACTCAAACACCCAGCCTGCCTCACGGCGCGCCTCCGCCAACCGCATCCCGCACGCTCAGGCGGAGGCCACCAGCCCGCCAATCAGCGCGCTCGCTGTGCCCTCGAGCTGGGACGGGAGCGGCGTTCGCGCCTGCGCCGAGGAGCCGGCGCGGGGAGCGCAGGGGCTGGTGCCAAAATGGCGGAGCGCGGCTACAGCTTCTCCCTCACCACCTTCAGGTGCGGGGGCAGGGACGGCTGTGGGCTCACGGGCAGAGGCGGGCGGGCTGCCGGGCCAGCGGGAGAACGGCGCGCAGACTGAGCGGAGCGGCCTGCTGGCGGCGGCGAAGCAGGACCGAGGGGGCGCTTTGCAGAGTCATCGGGCCTGCGAGCGCTGGGGGGCAGCGGGGGCTCGACCTGGGCGGGAGTGACGGGCGTGGGGAGAGCGGCGGGGCTCAGGCGCCTGAGGGGGACACGCAGCTGCCCAAAGGCTTCCTGAAGGGCTGCGGGGCGGTCCCGGGACCATCTGGTGTCTGTCGCTGACCTCGGCCACCACTGCGGGCGCCGCTTGTGTCTCCTCGCTGCTGTAGGACCACATTAAAGTCTGTCTCGAGACTGGTGGTGCCTGACAGCGAGTGCTTGGCTTAGCAAACTCGGGGGCACCACACACACGCAGTATAGGCTGGGGAGTAATTCTGTGGTTCTGAGCTAACTGGAAATGCGTGATGACAGCTGAGCCGTGCTGTCCTGAGAGCTTGCTTCAGATGTGGGGATGAGTGAAGCAGATGATTTTTAAAATAGTTTGTGTTCCTTCCTGCTACACTTGGCAGTTGCTGCTCTCCTTGCACTTGGTGTTGTGCACGTTTCTGAATGTGGAATGATGGCATGCACAGAGTGAATATGCTATTGGAGTAGTCTTTGTTGGGTGTTGCTCTAATACCTAGACTAAAGATTAATTCAGCATAAAGGAAATTACCTTCCATTCATATTTTGGAGTATTCAGACCTTGCATATTGAAAAAAGAAAAACTGGGCATAAGAACCTTTATGCTGCTCGTGTGAAGTGTCCCCTTAATCTCAGTGGAGAGTTATGCTGTGTAATTGCAAGAGGGATTGCTAAAGGCTTGTTGCAGTTGAGCAAATGAAGCAGATCAAAACCTAAAATGATGAAAAGAATGTTCTTAATGGATGGAAGCAGCCCAGCATGCTTGCTCTGCTCAAGTAGATTGAATTCTTTATTAGCTTTCAGAAATTATTTCCTAAGGGAGTCACAAACTTTTTGTATTTTACAGAAACACTATGTACTTGGAATGATTGTTCTGATTTGTTACAGTTTGTAGTGGAAAAGCCAGAATTACTACTTTGTTACCCTTACACCCTGTTTCCTCAGTGTATAAGTGACTACACTGATTGATTATTGCTTGGTTTTCTTCATCTAAGCACTGAGTTACGTAATATCCCATTTTACTTCTGCAACTATTAGAGCAGGAGTGTCTGAAATACAGCCTAGAGAATAGATCCAGTTGCAAAATCACTTGTCCAGTGAGTGCTTGTCTCTGGTGTCCTTTTTAGTGGGGATGGAGAATGGACCCCTCCATCCCCCTCTTTCTGAATAAGTTACTTTGTAATTTACTTTGCTTGACACCTGCAGCTCCATCCTGATGATCCTGCATCCATTGCCAGAATAACGTGGATCATTAAAACAAATTCATGGGAATGGAATGGGAGTTGTTGCTGTCTTGTGTGCTTGTCAGTCAAAAAGCATAGCTGTGTTTTGCTGGTTCCTTTCAGCACCGAACATCAGTGTCTTGAAAGCTTTTGGAAACCACATATACAATGTAATTTCAATAGAAAGTCATGACACACCCTGAAGATTTTTCCCACTGAATGGCAAACTTTATTTTGCATCTTCCTTTCTAGTCCTTCTGGAAAGCTTGTTCAGATTGAATATGCTTTGGCTGCAGTAGCTGCAGGAGCTCCATCAGTAGGAATTAAAGGTATGTCCTGAAAATACTGATGGATTTGGGATCTTGTCTAATTTTTGGGAGAACTAAACCAGTTTGAATAGTGTACAGAGTCTTTTGTATTGGATTCTTCTTTTTCTTTCTGTCACATATTTTGTTACTCTTTCAGTGAATTTTCACATGCTTTAACAAATTTTATGCTTCCTGGGGTTCTTTTTTTGGGTGATTTTGGAGACATTCAGCTGGTAGAAATAGATGTTTGGTTTTGGGGCTTTTTTGAGTGTTCCTGTCCTTATATATAGAAATAACACACACAAAAAAAGCTAGTTAGATTGCTCAATTATTAATGTTACACAGAATCTTTAGAATGGGATTATGGGAGCTGTATGTTCAGTTTAAAAAAGAAACAATGTATTGGGTGTATTCATCAAAGTATCTCTCTTTAATCTAATTGTAAGCTTGAATGGCTTTTAAAGCGAGAGGAAGAAGTTTTTTAGTTTAATAAGCTCATTCTATGTTTTGACTGCTAATTTTAGTTTCATTTTTAAAGAATTTTTTTGTTCTTTTCCAGCTGCAAATGGAGTGGTGTTGGCAACTGAGAAGAAGCAGAAATCCATTCTGTATGATGAAAGGAGTGTCCACAAAGTAGAACCAATTACCAAACATATAGGTTTAGTGTACAGTGGTATGGGTCCAGATTACAGGTATTAAAACATTTTGTTTGATTACCATTTAAGCGCATATTCATACAAGAAGTTTAAGTAACAGGTAGCAATTAGCTGTTTCTTTCTCAGTGTATGTCATAATACTATATTGCACTGCAAATGACATTCACATGAAGTTTTTCTTAATATATTCATTAACTTGTCAAATAACCTTATATCTAAAGAATAAAAGCCGTGTAATTCAACCTCACTTTAAATATTTCAGCAATTACTTGGTTGATAAAGATTACTCAGCACAATCTTGTGTTCTTACATTGATGTTATGCCAGATGTGCAACTCCTGAATAGGTATTTATTATTCTGAGTTTTCAGTTCTGGTTGGAATTTTTTGAACATAGTACTTTTGTTTTTGTTTTCAGAGTACTTGTGCACAGAGCTCGGAAGCTGGCCCAGCAGTATTACTTGGTTTATCATGAACCCATTCCAACAGCTCAGCTAGTACAGAGAATTGCTTCTGTGATGCAGGAGTACACACAGTCTGGGTATGTGCTGGGATTGCAGAGCTGCTTGGAAAGATTGTGGTGTTTAATTTAATGAGTAACAGCTACCCAGTGACTGGGGTTTTTGTAGAAAAGGCAGATTTTCAGTGGAGAATGTGCACAGAAAGTGTGGCAACGGGAGGAGCACTGACTTGCAGTGGGTGAGAGTGGGTCTCCATATCTTGCACACAAACATGTCAGCCAAGGCAGGACGCTTGGTTTTGTCCTGTTGGTTGACTTGTCCTCATTACAGCTCTGGTCTGGGGAGAAGATGAACATGTCCAAAATAATTAGTCACCTTTGACTTTCACTGGATAATTTATTACATTTTGTTTGCCTGTAGTGGTGTTCGTCCCTTTGGTGTATCACTGCTAATATGTGGCTGGAATGAAGGGCGGCCATATTTATTTCAGTCGGATCCATCTGTAAGTATCTTACACTTGTAAGTTCTGCTGCTCTGATAAAACACGTGAAACTTGGCATGAGCTCATGAAATATTTTCTGTGATGAGAATAATAATACAGAGCTAGAATGAAAAATAACTTCAGAAGTCAAAATGGGTCATTTCAGTAGGTACTTGGAGCGAGCCTGCATCATTCTGTGCCTACACGTTCCTGTACTGGTTTGAGGGATGGCAGCTGTTTCTGAGGGAGGTCATCCCTTTTCATATCTTCCCACCTAGCTGATAGTGCCAGCAAAAATGGTGTTCTGCAACAGCTACTAGGAAGAAATAAATTGACTGTTTGTACTGCTCCAGACTGGATGGAAGTTAAGCCAAAACCTGTAGCATTGTGAAATGTAATGCACATGCTGTGGTATTTAATGACAGTGGCTAATTTAAATCGTTTATTTGCTGGGTTTGCACTGCACTTCAGAAGAGCTACCCTTCGATGCACGTATGAGATGCAGTGCTTCAGATGAGAAAATGTGGTCATTGTAGTGATCATAGCAACTTCCAATGGTTTGAATTACCTGATGCTCCAGTGTAAAAAGCAAAATGCAGATGCCTTGTTTAAGGCAGTTTGAGGCATAGAACTGCTGGCAGTCTTCATGCCAGAGGAGGGAGTAGAAGTGATGACTAAATAACGTGGTAGTAGTGAACATAAATCAGATGGCTGATTTGCAACAAGTCATTTATATTACTTTATCTTCAAAAAGAAGAATATGTGGGGTGAGCCTCAGTAAGGATTTGAGTGTATACTTTCTCAAAAGCAGATGTACTATTTCTGTTTAAGGAATCCCAAATCAAATCTATGCTAATGACTTTCTAAGTATATCTTTCCAAATTAGTGGGAGGATGAAAATAGGTGGTTGCAATACCCATTTTGTACAGTTTCATTGCATATGTTCCCATATAAAATTAGTCTCAATGTGATCTAAAATTTTCTCCTGTAGTCTCAGAACACTCAGTATCTTCATAATTGCTTCTGTAGTTTTTTAGCAAGTAATTGAATACATAGTGTTTCACTAAGTTACAAACAATAATAAAACAATTCAGTCAACAGTTTATTGCTTTTACAGGGAGCTTATTTTGCCTGGAAAGCAACAGCAATGGGAAAAAATTATGTCAATGGGAAAACATTTCTTGAGAAAAGGTAATGTATTTCATACTTCTCTGAAAGGATACTCTGTTTTGTTCAGGTTCTACATAAAATAGCCAGATTTTAAAAAATGTACACTTTTTAAATTGTAAGAACAAAGTTTTAAAGTTCTTAAGGTATGATGCTTCCAGTGTACTTGTTTACATGTGCACAGGAGATTTGATTTATTTAAACTCCAACTTTTGTGTTTATGTAGAATTACTTGAGTGCAATAAGCATTATATTCAGCATATTTGTAGCAGTCATATACAATGTCAGTAGGAAAAGTAGGGATTTTTTTTTTAACAAATTATAACTTTGACTATTAATGCCACTATGCTTACAAATAATATTTCTATAAGAAACAAATTTTAGTAGTTTTGGGGATTTTAGAGACTCTAGGAGTATTAAAATTTGTGAAGATTTTTGTCCTATACTGTAATAAATTAATGTCTGTTTGCAGATACAATGAAGATTTGGAGCTTGAAGATGCCATTCATACAGCTATCTTAACACTAAAGGTTAGCCAAGTATTTAAGAAAGAAGTTTCTTATGTCTTCACTGATAAGATTCACTGAACTGTATTTTATTTTAATAGGAGAGCTTTGAAGGGCAAATGACAGAAGACAACATTGAAGTTGGCATCTGTAATGAAGCTGGTTTTAGGAGGCTCACTCCAACTGAGGTTAAGGACTACTTGGCTGCAATAGCCTAGTAGAAACCGAGCTAGACTGTGTGCTTCACACAAAGGTCTTTTTAATTTTGGCTACTTAAATGTTTTTCTTTGCAGTTTTTGCATACTTATTTCTACATGGTTTGTCTGAGAGATTTTTTAAACATCATGGGTGCAAATACAACGGTCCTTGATATTGTAATAGATGGAATCTTGTTAAAGATAATTCTTTCCCTTGATACACAAGATACTGTACAAAATGTAAAGTTATAGTGACAGCTTGAAAAAGGCTAAAGAATAAAATTAAAGGCCATTGTTTTGGGGGAAGCTGTCTGTGTGTCTTTTCAATCCTAGCTAGTTTATGTACTTAGATTTCAGTATCCTTATTGCTGAGAAAATAGTTTTTCATATACAGCCATGATGAACTTTTGTTCACCCTTCTTTTAAAAAAATTAAATGTTGAGTGATAGGATAATTTTTTCACTTTGGAATATTGTTTAAATGTTAATTAACCTCCAGAAATAGTTTTATGTGGTGCAGAAGATCATGTACTTTCCCAAAGAGGCAGGAAAGTCTTCCATTTCAGGTGTGTACTGTGATCTGATTGAGCCTCTCTACTTTTGATCATCCTGGTCTTTGTGTCCCAAGAACTTGTTTTACTCGAGTTATTTTCTTGGCCCTTGAAATTGCACCTTTTCAATCTTGAAATATTGTTAGGAAAAGTAGAAACAGTAACTCTTACTGAAAACAAAATGCATTTATCACCATCAATAAAAATCAATGGGATTTACAAAACAGAATGAGAGTATGTAATGTAATTACTTTATCTCTTGAATTGTGCTAAAGTATTTTCTGACTTGCAAGATAATTCTAAAGATATAAGGAAAGGAGTATTTATTTGGTGCACCATAACTTTTACAGATATTGTGCGGATGTATCAATACATTTGTTACATGTGGAGGGTCATTCAAGTCATGAAAACCTACATTTACCACAAAAAAAATGGCAGAAATGATCTGGTCTGCAGCCATTTAAGTTACTGTTTTCAGATTTTATATTTTTAAAGCAATCTAATTGTTAAAACGTTGATAATGAACTGGGAGCAGTAGCTCAATCAGTCTGCTTGTAGGTAAGGCTAAGGATGTAGGGGAGCAACCTGGCAGGTCCCCACATCAGCCAGCCATAACTAATGAAGAAAATACAGAATGTGAGTAAAAAATAGTGTATAAGCTGATTGACCTGTGCTTTCCAATGTCTGTCTTCTGATGGTTTATGTTATCATCAGGTGAATAAGAATTTTTGAGACATGCCATAAATGAATTTTTATTTCCTAATGAAATAAAAGCTCTGTCCAAATGGTTCATTAAGAGTTCTGCCAGATCACTTTTTGAGTATTCTAGTCTGAAAACCAGGCTGTACTCTGATTCTTATTCTAGAGAAAATAAAACAACTCAGATCTGAAACAGAAAGCTTTATATTGCTGCATCTTTGATTTAGAATATTTATGCACTCATAGTTTTTTAATGCTGTATAAATATTCAAGAGTTTTCTACGTGGGAAAATGTGTGTAGGTACTTCAGAAATTCACTGCAGTGGTTTAGTTGTCTCTGCTAATCGAAATAATTGCACTAGCCTATGAAGGACAGTTGAAACCAAGTTTCAAACCATGGTGAACTGCTTCTTGTTTTGTGTTAAAGGATATGAGTAAGTCTCTGGTCTACTGCCAGTGGTTTTCACTTTGATGAGCCAAGGTGGTGACTGTTTTTACACCATTAAGAACTCACTCCCAAAGCTCCCTGGTATTACTTAAACCTTGCAGTGAATCAGAGTTCATGGCACTTGATGTATGTAAACAATATGCATAATATTTTGAATTTAGGCTGTATTTAGAGTATTAGATAATTTTCCTGGTGGTACTCAGACCTTGATATTACGCTGCTCTGATGGGGAAGGTGGTGTGGTTTTAAATGTGGCGTTTTTTCAACTGCATGTCTAAGATAGTAGCTAAATTTTATCTGCTATTTAAAGGGAAATCTTGAAACTGAAGAGAACTAAGTAACATTTTTCCATTTAAAATCTTTAAAAATTAAGGAAATAGTATTTTTAACTTGAAGATGTATTTCTTAAATAAAATTACTTCAGGAGTGAGCGATACTAGTACAGTGGACTACCAAATTATATGGTGATTGTAGTAATTTTCAAGTGTACCCTTTAGTTACATGAGATTATCTTTTTTTAATATATTTTGTAGAAAGTGCATAAAGGGGTCGAGGTGCAATAAGACAGGCAAACACTGTTCCTTTGTGAGGAGTGACAAATTACAAACTTGATTACTTCAGCTCACTATGAATTATAACTTTCTGGCATTTAACTTGTTCCTGCTAGTGCAGTCATCTGAAAGAAGAAAAAGAGACACTTATCACTTGAAGCATGTAATGTTGATTTGCTTATCCTGGAAGAGGATCTGCTCCAAGGTGCTCAGGATAGTGTGACACCTATGAGAATTGGGCTTTATTTAATGAGTGGGTTGGGGATCTGAGAACCGTGACTTAATTTAATGAAGTTAAAGAGAATCACAGAATGGGTTGGGCTGACATCTCGTCCAACCTCTGTGCTCAAGCAGGGTTATTGTAGAGCAGAGGGCACAGGATTGTGTCTAGATGGTTCCTGAATAGTGCCAGTGAGGGAGATTCCACCATTTCTCCAGGCAACCTGTTCCAGAGTGCCATCACCCACAGTAAAAGACATACAGGTGCAGTAAGTAAGCCCCTTACAAGTTGCTTTGGCTTACTATTGCTTTCCAGATCATGTGAAATCATTCAGACAAGTAGAGATCGTCTCTCCCTGCAAGAACCGGCACTCTGAAGCCAAGTCTGTCCCACTCTGTAGGGGAGTATTACTGCATGGAGGCAGGCAGCAACTTGCTCACATATTCACAGAATGAAGTTTAGTACAGCCCATTTTGGTTACCCAAACGTAACTGGTCGACCCAGTGTGCACAGATCCAATACACATGGAACCGGGGCTGTTGCTTCTCCGGCGAAGCTAAAAAGTCCAAGGCTAACTTGTCTCTGACGTGACTGTTCCCATTACTCTGTGCTATTGCAGCCTCACATTGAATATTATGTGCTGTTCTGGGCACCACACTGTAAGAAAGCTACAAAGCTACTAGAGAGCATCTAAAGTGGGGCACCACAGATGGTGAAGGGCCTTGAGGGGAAGCTGTTTGAGGAGCAGCGGAGGTCACTTGGCCTGTTCAGCCTGGAGAAGACTTAGTCTCTAAGCGGAGATCTTATTATTGCAGTTGCAACCTTTTCATGAGTGGAAGAGGAGGGCAGAGACCGATCTCTGTGGTGACCAGAGGATAGGATCGAGGGACTGACTTAGAGCTGTGTCATGGGAGATTTAGGTTGGATATTAGAAAAAAGTTGTTAACACAAAGAAGTGGTTGGGCAGTGGAACAGACTCCACAGGACCTTGCCTGACACAGTTCAAGCGGGTTTTAGACAATCCTCTCAGGCACACGATGTGACTTGGGGCTGTCCTGGGCAGGACAGGAGTTGGGCGCAACGATCCTTGTGAGTTCCTTCCAACTCCGGCCATTCTGAGATTGCGTCTGACCTGATGTAATGTATTTTCTGGAAGGGTTTTCAGATAGCCCGCGGGCAGGCCAGGGAGCAGAGCCAGGCCGGGCGGGCCGGAGCGAGGCGGGTGGTGCGGCTGTCCCCGCCCGGCGGCCCCGGGGGAGGTGCCGGGCTGGGCCGAGCCGCGCCACGCCACGCCAGCCTGGGCCGAGGGCTGTGGCGCCGGGCTGTGAGTAGGGGCTGCGGGGGCTGGCAAAGGCGGCGGCCCGGGGGAGGGACAGGTGCCGGGAGCACCCGGAGAGGCGAGGAGGGCCCGAGCATATCGCGTTCCTGCAGTGACTGCGGGACGGGGCGAACAGGAGGGACAAGCGCCGGCGTCCCGCACCCTCCCGCTCCGCCGCGTGGGCGGAGGGCGAGGCCGGGGGCGGCCGCGGGGCTGAGCCGGGCTGGGGCGAGCGCTGAGGGCGCCGTGCCCTCAGCCGAGATGGCGGCGCGGCCTCGCCGGCGCGGCGCACACGTGATGGCGGCAGAGGCGGAGAGGAGGAGGCCGCGCCGCGGGCGGGAGGGGCGGCCGGCGCCGCCGGTGCCCGCCCCGGGGACATGGGCCCGGCGCGGTGGGTGGGTGACCTTGGGGTTGGTAGTGGCGCTGCCGCGGAGTTGTGCTGAAAAAGTAGTTTTGTCTGTGGTTTTATTGTCACTGCGACCCTTGATTTACGCTCTGTGTTGAAGCGTGTGTGTGTGTAGGAATTGTAGGTGCTGTGGGGAGAGGTGCCCAATTACTAATTGTGAGGTTTAACTCATTGCGTTAGATTCGAGGATAAGCTTGGGGCAGTGGCAAAGATGTCGAGGGGGAAAGGCTGATTTTTCTGGCCTCCTGGGACCGTGAAGAGCGTTAATCTCATCTCGGCAGGCATCAGGATTCTTGGCCGTGAAGAAGCAGGTGGAGATGTTGCTGATGCTGGATGGGGACCAGGCCAGTAGCAGTTAATGCTGGCCGTGTTTCCACTTGGACACAGGGCCAGGGAGGTTCCCACTGTTTGAAGGCAGGCCACTGAGTTGCCCTGGCAGAGCCTGTTGCAGGATCTGGTTGTGTCTTGTTGCTCCTTTTCAGTTGGACTTTGATTTATCTTGTCCTTTAACACCAGTTTACTTCAACATGCAGGTTAGGCAAGAATTATAGGAAGAATTACACTGTTTATACTTGTAGTGAGGAGTCAAAATTTATTAATTTCACTATTCATAGTGGTTACTGGCTTAAATATGCTTTTCTTTGGTGTAGTATGAATCCTACATTTTCAAAGACAGCACATATTCAGTAAAGGAATTCCAATCATACTTTCCTTAAGGAAGGCCTACTAAAGTAATACAGATGTGAAAAAATATATTTATCGGATGCAACCCAGTAAATCTCTTAACAGAATTAGAAAACATAGCAATTTTAGCATAGAGATTCTCCTGATAGTAGACTTATGAATCATAGTCTGTCATGAGGCTGTGTAATAGAAACATATGATGGTTTGGGTTGGAAGGGACATTGAAGACCATCTAGTTGCAAGCCCCCTGCTGTGTGCTGGGACAACTTTTACTGTGGTGCCTTTTACTAGACCAATTGCTCTGAGCCCCTCCAACCTGACCGTGACCTTTACCATTTCAGGGATGAGGCATCCACAGCTTCTCTGGGCAACTTGTCCCAGTGCTTCACCACCCTCTGAGGGGTTCATGCACTGAGTTGAACAGTACAGGTTGAAAGCTGGGTATGTGTAAGCATGGTGGGTGGCTTTTAGTTTTAATGGTAAGTGTGATGAGAGGGAGAGGCAAGATTTGCTTATGACATTAACTATATTTCTGATCACAGCTTTTGCAAATGAGCTGTGAGAGTTAGCATCCCTCTAAGTGACTGGCTAAGTGAAGGTCTCTTACGTGGCAGGTGGGAGGAAACCACAAGCTTGCAAGGTCTGTGTGTAGACTTGAGTGCTACCTAGCTGAGAACTAGGGTCTTCTGAGGCTGTAGGTTGGATTTCTAAAGGTGAAGGAAAGAAATTGAAGTCATCACCGGGACTTTGTGTTGAGGTTCCAGTTCCTTGTGCTTTACAATAGCTGTTGCACTTAAGTCTATTGCAAGGCTGGAGTGTATACTGTTAGAAAGAACTCTTTTGACTGTTTTTATTCTTGGCCATGGAATAACAATCTTCTTCTTTGTTCTCACTTGATAGGAATAATGTTTACAACATGTCTGTGCAGTCGCTGCTTTATGAAAGAATTGCTGTTGCCAAAGACTTGATTAAGAGAGCAGAAGCCCTTTCCAAGTCCCAGAAAAGGAGAATAGAAGGTGGGGCAAAGCTATGTAGCAAACTGAAGGCTGAGCTAAATTTCTTACACAAGGTAGAGGCTGGGAAAGTGGCCATTAAAGAATCCCATCTACAGAGTACAAACCTGACCCACCTCCAAGCCATTATTCAGTCAGCAGAGAACCTGGAGGATGTTGTCAGTGTCCTTCATGTCTTTGCTTATGAGGACAGGTTTGGAGACAAACAGACGCTGGTGGTAGATGTTGTTGCAAACGGAGGTCACACGTGGGTGAAGGCCATCGGTCGTAAAGCTGAGGCCTTGCATAACATCTGGCTGGGAAGGGGCCAGTATGGTGACAAAAGTGTCATTGAGCAGGCAGAGGACTTCCTGCAAGCGAGCCGTCAGCAGCCAGTGGAGTACAGCAATCCCCACATCATCTTTGCATTCTACAACAGCGTGTCCAGTCCTATGGCGGAGAGGCTCAAGGAGATGGGAATATCTGTGAGAGGAGATGTTGTTGCTGTGAACTCACTGGTAGAACCATCTGCAGAAAATGAGCACTGTGACACCAGTGAATCAGATGAAGAAGGCCCTGAACTCCTGCAGGTGACCAGAGTAGACCGGGAGAATTTAGTGGCCAGCATTGCTTTCCCTACCCAGATCAAAGTAAATGTCTGCAATAGAGTTAACTTGGACATCACTACCTTAATAACCTACGTCTCTGCGCTGAGCTATGGTGGCTGCTACTTTGTCTTCAAAGAAAAAGTACTGACAGAGCAAGCAGACCAAGAAAGAAGGGAGAGAGTCCTGCCTCAGCTGAAGGAGTTCATGGAGGGAAAAGAGCTCTTTGCCTGTGAATCTGCTGTCAGAGATTTTCAGTCCATCTTGGAAACGCTGGGAGGACCTGGGGAGAAAGAACGAGCTGCATTGCTTGTTAAAAGAATTAATGTGGTGCCAGATCAGCCCTCGGACCGTGCCTTAGGACTAGTGGCTAGCTCAAAAATCAACAGCCGCTCTTTAGCCATTTTTGGGACAGGAGACACTTTAAAAGCCATCACTATGACTGCAAATAGTGGGTTTGTGAGAGCAGCAGCAAACCAAGGTGTCAGATTCAGTGTTTTTGTCCATCAGCCACGAGCATTGACAGAAAGCAAAGAATCTTTTGCCACGCCTCTACCAAAGCACTGCCCATCTGATAATGGAGTGTAACTCATTAAATGAGTTAGTAATGGAAAATACTACAGGTCCTGCAGTGGAAGCATTTGGAGAAACAGAAGAGTCATAGCAATACAGTTTTGGGTGTGTATCAATGACAGCAACTAGCCGTGGAAGAGCTCCTCAAGGGATTTGTAATATCTTTACTCCTTCCTTGAGGCTATTTTTTGTCCAGCTGACCGTTAATTTATTCACTAAAGTAATAAGAAGTCAATGGAAATTTTTAACTGGCCTACAATGTATTAATTGTATCCATCCCCATTAAAAAGTTCAGTTAAAGCACAGTTACTGATGTCCCCTTGTTATTTTTGTCCTCCTCGTAGAGGTAAAATTCGTCACCTTAGATGAACTTTGGGCTTGACTTCCATGGAACTTAAATCTTTCTTTCCCCTGTTCCATTCAATCTTGTTTTTGATTGATTCAGGGGACCTTGTGCAGAGACCTGTGCCTTTTTGGGAGTGTGATGTTTTGTGAAGATGTGACTAGTAGCCATGAATAGAAATCAACGTAAGCCTTCCTTGTTTTACTGAAAGCAACCTCTATGTGTATACCATGGTTGGGCTGAATTGGGCAACAGCTTTAAAATTTCTGGGAAAAATAGTTGGAGTTGGAGTTTATTTACATTAATTCGTTGTGGCTCTTGGGCTAAACTGGACAGCCAGTGGTAACAGACCAAGGAGGCACATCCACTTCACTTTTCTCTTAGCCTTTCTCCAAATGCAGTCTTGCTGGTTGTAAAGCCCAATACAAATCTTCAGATAACAGAATCCTAAACTGAGCCAACAACCAGGTAGTTTTTGATATTAGCATGCTCTTTGCTGAGGACTCATGGTTGAACTTGAACCTGGCTTTGTTGCATCTGAATTACAAAGCCTCAGTGAGGTCCTTCAGTGTTGGAGTGATGGAGATTTGCAGGGTATGTTCTTAAATCCTGGTTTGCTTTCTAGAAGCCTTTTCGCTGGTGGTGTAATTGCTCTTTTTATTCAAAGTGTAGAATAAACTACTATTTTTTCTGCTGTATTTTTTTTTTCTTTGCCCAGGAGAGATTTGAAGTTGTAGGAGTTTTTATCATGGTTGGTTTTTTTGGGTTTTTTTTTTTTTGTTTTTTTTTTTTTCTGAATGCTTTAATGACAGCACTTGCTTTTTGGTATTAATTTTCATCAGTTTCCTAGTGGAAAATCTTGAGATGTTAGAGTGAAGCTCCAAGCCCCAAGCTATACATTTTTATCAGGTCAGTGAAAGAGATACCTGCTGAATATTTTATAGGCTGTTGTTCAATGCAATTGCATTATTATGTAGTTTAATAGTTCAGGCAAAGGACATTCTCTTGCCACTCCACTCTGAATTTCTTCCTACGGTACAATGTATCTGCAGTGCTGCCCTTAGCTGTAGGCTCAAACCATTTCTTTCTGGTCACTAGCAGCGACGCAAAGATACTGAAATGCCTGCAAGACCACTCTGCATTGCTTTGTTCAGCTGAGTAAGATGAACTTGCAAGGGGCAGAAATATATTTCTTGTTGGTGTGATTCTTGGTCTGCTCTTACTATGCCTGTAGAGTAAAATGTTAGAAATGGTCACCAGTAACCACATGCTGCATAGCTTTACCTGAAGCTTTTAGCAATGTGGAGGGCAGTCTGCTCTCTATGCTCCCCATTTTCTATGGGTCTCTGAAGTAGTTCATGAAGTTTAAGATAGGTGGAACTGGATTTTGGGTTTTGCTGCTTCAGCATCCGATGTACTACCTGCAAGTTTCTCAGTTCCTCTTTGGTAAGTTCTAACAAAACTTCTAGCTTGTTCTTACAGTCTAACACAATGTAATGAAACCTCATGGCAGGATTCATCCCCCACCGTATCCATTAATTTTCTTGAAAGTTCTGAAGGGAAAGGAGGACCAACACAATGAAACAATTATATGTTGGCTGTGCAGCAGAAATGCAAGTCTGCCTTAGTAGTTAACAGCGCAAGCTTCACCATGCAGGAGCTTAGGGAGGTAGTAATCTGTCATGGTGTGATGGATTTACCAGACACAACCAGGGATGTCTGTGAAGTGTTATAAACAGCTTGAAGGAAAGTAGTGTTCATTTCTGCCATGAGAGCTCTTACTCTGGACACCTGTGTGATGTCTTTCTTCTGCAGTAGGTGTGGGAACAGGCCTTGGGGAGGCCATCTGTCTAAGAGAAAAATAACTCTGTGTTTCAAAACTGTGTTTGTCTTGCATCACGTGTCCTGAAAAAGGGTAGAGGAAACCTCCTGGTTAATAATTTTTGAACAGATAACCTGGGATGGAGGGGTTCTTTTTGTCTGCAGCTCAGAGTGTAAAAGTTGAGGTTCCCAACTCATTGTTGTGTCTGGGGTTGCAGTGACCCAGATGTAGGACCTTGCACTTTGCTTTGTTGAACATCATGAGGTTTCCATTGGTCCCTGTGTGGTATTATCCCTTCCCTCCATGGTGTCAACTGCACGACAGAGCTTGGTGTTGTCAGCAAATCTGCTGAAAGTGCACTTGGTCCCGCTGTCCATGTTGCCAGTAAAGACATTGAAGAGCCCCAGTACCAATCTCTGAGGGACACCACTCATCACTGGTCTCCATGTGTAGTCATTGACCACAGCTCTTAGTATGTGTCTATCCAGGTTTATCCACTGAATGGTCCATCCATCAAATCCCTGTCTCTGGAGACAAGGATGTCATGCAGGAGTGTGAAACGCTTTGCATTTACTCCAGGTAGACAATGTCAGTTGCTCTGCTCCTGTCCACCAACACTGTAGCCCTGTCATAGAAGGTCACCAAATTTGTCAGGCATGATTTCCCTCTCGGAAAACCATTTTGGCTGTTACCAGTTGTCTCTTTGTTGGCCAGGTGCCTTGGCGTATTTTCAGTAGAACCTGCTCCGTGACCTAGCCTGGCACAGAGGTGAAACTGACTGCTCAGTACTTCCCTGGGTTTTTCACTTTCCCCTTTCTAAAAATGGGACTTACATTTCCCTTTTTCCCATCATCAGGGACTTAACCTGACTGCTTTAATTTTTTAGAAATGATGGATAATGGCTCAGCAATATTGTCTGCCAGCTCCCTCAGGACCCATGGATGAGTCTTACTGGGTCCCGTGGACTTGGGCACATTCTCAAACCTGGTTCGCGATCTCGAACCTGATTCTCTCCTACCGTGGGCTCAGGGTTTTCATCCTCCCAGTCCCTGCATCTGCCTTTCTTGACTTGGGTAGCATGGCTGGAGCACTTGCCATTGGAGACAGAGGCAGAGAAGTTGTTGAGAACCCCAGCCTTCTCTTTGTCCAGTGTAGTCAGGTCTCCCTTTTCCTTCTGGAAAGAGCGCACATTAGTCTGGTCTTTCATTTGTTTGGAACGTATCTATAGAAGCCCTTCATATTATTCTTAATATCCCTGGCCAGACACAGTTCTAACTGGGCCTTGGCTTCTCTAACATTGTACCTAGCTTCTTGTACAATTTTCCTGCTCTTTTCAGGCCCTCTGTTCTTCACTTTCTGAAAGCTTCTTTTTTTTCCACTTTAAGTTTGCACAGCAGCTCCTTATCCATCCACAGAGGCCTCCTGGCATTTTTGCTCAGTCTCCTCCTTGTTGAGATGCCTTGCTCCTGAGCTTGGAGGAGGTGATCCTTGAAATTCAGCCAGCATTCTTGAACCTCTCTGCCTTCCAGGGCTCTATCCAATGGGACTCTACCAAATAGATCTTGGAGAGGCCAAAGTCTGTTCTCCTGAAGTCAGGGCAGTGAGCTTGCTGCATGCCCTCCTTGCTATCCTCGGGATCATAAACACCATTTCCTGGTCACTGCAGCCAAGCCTGCCTTGAAGCACTGCATCCCCCACCAGCTCCTTCCTCGTGGTGAGCACAAGGTCCAGTAATGTCACCAAAGATACTTTTTTTTTCTTTGTCAAATAGATCCTGTCATCCCCCAGTAAACCAGGCTTGGCAAAGCGAGTCCTATGAGTCTGAGTAAGCAAAACTAGGTGGTGCCCTGACTAGGGCACCATTGCTGTAGCCATGACAAACCCGCCAGGTTTGTCTGCATATTTCAAGTCCCCCTCACTTGACCTGGAGGATTAAGAAAAAACTTCTTGAACTCCAGGACCCTTTACTATCTCTCCCAGGGCTTATTAGTCCCTCTTAATGCTTCACAGACTGGTGCCAGCTGTGTCACTGGCTCCCACATGGAACTAATAGTGGGTAATACTGTGTGTTTGAGTAGGCTTGGGAGCTTCTCAGTAATGTCTCAGATCCAGGCTCCTGGCAGGCTGCCTACCTCTCTTGAGAGTGGATCAGGCCAAGAGATGAGTGCCTCTGTGCCTCATAAAGTGGTATCACCCACTGCTATCACCTGTCACCTTTTCTTGGTTGAACTTGTTGGTAATTTCTGTATTTGTAGAACAGGTTGGGCAGCTCCAGTTATCTCCTGCTCTCTGAGGCCCATCTGGGCCATCAAATTCCTTTTCCCAATTACTGAGTTGAAGGCAGATTTACTCCTTTTCTAGTTTGATGGGTGATGACTCACTCCCTAAGTTTTGTGCTCTACCTTTGCACCCTGCCATTCAAACAGCCACTCATGCTCCCTGGAGCTGTTTAAATCTCCCTTGGATGCTCCTGGCAATGCCTCCTCCTTGCCAGTGATTTTTCACTAAATAATCTGTTTTACAGTATTACAGGATATAGTCGAAGTTACAGCATTTATGCATGGTAATAGTGCACTTATGCGTGGTAATTCATTACGGCCTTTCAGCCCTTTGCATTTAAGTTAATATACTCACAGCCTTTTCACCCTGAAAAGGGCTTTGAGGAAATGGGAGACAGCTGTTTCATTCCACTTCTTGCTGTGACTCTAAAGAAGTGTGTTTCCATCACTTTCCCTGCTGTATTGCATTCAGCAATCTTGAATATCCTCTTGGGTCCCCTCTAAAGAAGTCTCTCCATGCCTCTGGTGACAGGGCAGTGGCCTGCATTTTAACATGGTAGGTGACCCAGAGAAAGCAGTAAAAAGCAAGTGACCTCTGTATTCCTGGGCTCAGAAGTGAGTGAGTTCTGTTTGCAGTATTCCTTCACAGCTGCTGCTGCAGAGCTGGCAGGCTTGTTTTGCAGTGATAACTTTTGTGTGACCAGTGAGTGCAACTCTTTTGGAAAGGCTCTGTATCTAGAGCCACCGTGTGGTGATTTTCTTCATTACCAGTCCTTTTTTACCAACATGGTGTTTGTTATTGAATCAATTTTCTTTCTTTTACTAATTTCTGCCAATCATATAGGCGATATTTTAGGAATA